ATAAAAATAATGCCCTAAAATATAATACTTTTAGACTATTCTCTCCCCCATAGACTTCAATGCCATAAACATATTTCATCCAGTTTTTCTCAGTCTTACCCCCCACCCCAATGCTAGCCTCATTCTACAACAGTGGCACCATATAGCATTTGTCCCTTTGTGACTGAGATATATAATTTCTTTTAATAGTGATGTAAAACATAACAATTTGTGGTATCTAAATTACATTTCTTTCCATTTTGGAAACATCTTTATTTTGTATGCATAGTGCTGTGCTGCAGAGATAATACTTGACCTGAGACAGGAAAGTATCTGGTGGCTTAAGGACAGTGAAGCTTCCTAAGTTCTTTGAACGCTTTGACTTTTTTTTTTTACTTTTAAAAATTTATTTTGGTGTGCTATTTTATTGCTTTCTGTGATTTAGGTCTTAGGTTATGTCTCTGTAATTTCTCTAAATACTCATCTGATTTTGAAAACATCCTTGAAAAAAAAAACTTCTTGAGGTTTATTAAGAGTTTCCTGTATTTCTTCTCTTTTATTTAAAAATCATACAGTAAAACCACCAGGCCATTACCACTTCATGTTTGTCACTTAGATGCTTATATGTCATTTGATTTTTGTGATTTGCTGACTTTCTTTTTTGTTCCTTACAGAATGGACACAGTGGTGGTCGAAGTCAGCCAATACTAGACAGTAAGTGTATAAGTGTATATTCTCTCATTCATCGCCATCCAATCACTGACTTGTAGCTGGTTTCCAGAGGCTGAGATCCTGCGAGGAGATTGCCCCTCTTTCTCTGGCAGAGCAGCTGGTAGATTTGAACCTCTGGATTGGCAGTACAACTCCTTACAGGGCCACCAGAGTTCCTATATTTGTTAGAAGGAATTGTGGTGACATAGCTTTTAGCATGTTGTGCTACTAATCAAAAGGTCGTGTGTCCTCAGTGTTTCTCCAGGGGAGAAAAAAGGGCAGCTGTATATTCACCTGTGACAGATATTATTAGAGATGGTGCAGCCAGAGTGAGGAGATGACTGTCTTGAACGCTTGCGCCTTAGTCTGACTGCACACTGAATGTTGTGTATGTTAAAAGATGCTTGACTCAGGCACAGGACACAGGTGCTAAGATGAAAACGTTTACACTATTAATGGCAACTTGTTCAGAGAGCCATGCTACACTATTAATGGCGACTTGTTCAGAGAGCCACGCTCATTGTTTTCAGTATCTGAAGTATTTCCAAGAAGAGGACCTTTCTGAGAAACGAAGGAGCTTCCCTGCACTCCACCCCATCTTGTCTGGGTCTTCCATCTTGTTTAACTTGGATCATCAGCTAAAGTGTCCATTTTGGAGCTGAGAACATTCTTGGCGTGGCCACGACTGTCTGGGGAGACCTTGGTTGGTAGCTCTGTGCTTGTTGGATGACAGAGGAACTTGTCACTTCAGTTGTAGCTGTCAGTACCCAGGCATGGCACTGCCTGGCTACGGCTGAGCACATACAAGTTCCTGGACATCACAGATGAGTTAAGGAGATGTCAACTACTAGAAAACAAAATGTACAATTAGGATCATTTGTATTCTTTTCCAGTCTCTCTTCCACCTCTTTTCCCTCCCCAGTATCTCTTCAGTGAATTTATTGTGACCTCATTAGGATCGTGCTTCAAGGCTGAGGGAGGTAGCTTGTGGGGTTTGAGTTTTAAGTCCAGGAGACCTGTAGTCTTCACCTGGGTTTCCAAAATCAGCATTTATATGTGGAATAGATTGTCACTAAGAAGACAACTTCACCAATGTAAGGACTACTGTAAGGGTTGATGTAATTGTGTGTTGATCCTGGGACTGTATTAGACTTCTCCTCTCAGCTCTTCCAAGATAGTGTTTCCCAGTTCGAGTGGTAAAATTTGATCCTCCTCCTTGACTGGAAAAGACAATGATGTTATATTTCCAAGCACATATCTGAGCTGTATGTGTGGACAGTCCTAAGGCTGAGTCTTTTCCACAGCTGGAGTGATTGTATTCACAGCCTCTGAACATCTAAGCTTGTTTATGTGCTCTGAGGTTATTCTTGGAGGCACATACCAAAGACATTCTTACTCTTAAAAGTAGGTGCTACAGCCTCCCTTTTCAGCAGGAAGTAGCTAAGAGAATACGCCATCCCCTTTTCCTTATGAATCAGGGTGAAGTCTCTCTCAGGGAGGAGTGAT